GCAGCTGCTCCGAGGACGGGATGAGCAGGAGCATATGGAGCAGATGGGTACTGCCACCTTACACCTGCCTGACACCTCATCCTGCACCTGCTGTCAGCTGGACGATGAGCCCTGTGCCAGACCTGCAGTGCTTCTGGCCACGAGGCACAGACTGGGCAAAGATGGGACCCTGGCCAGTACTTACCGCCTTGCAGGCTGCATTCTTGCACTTGGTGCCAGCTCTCACCTGGGCAGCTCCCTCCCCTGCAAGAGCAACACAGCTTCACCCCAGGACACCCACTGCCCATTCCTGCCCCTAGATCCTCCCTGCAGCCCCTCTGCCATCTCCCCATGGACTGCCCCAAGCACAGGCCATTGTGATGTGCCTCCAAAACACGGATCTGTGGGTTTGCAGGTGTCAAAACATGCAACACCTGCTGCCCAGCACTGAATCTGTCATGCAAAACCCCATGCTGAACTTGCCATGTGCAACCCCTTTGCTCTCCATCAGCTGGTCACTACCTGTGCAACTGCTCTCAAGTGTCTTGTCCTTGGAGGACAGGTTCAGTTTCTCCAGTGCCTGCTCCAGAGACCTGGATACTTTAATGGGCAGCAGTCGTCTTGGCTCATCAGAGCTGGGAATCAGCAGCAGCAAAGGCCAGGTGTTTGGTTTGGTTTTGCAGTTTAAGTATTGTTGCCTCTCCTGAGGAAGCAGCAGGGCATGCAGAAGAAGAGGCACAGCAGGGCAACACTATTAGCTGAGCCTATCTCACCTTGGTCTCTCCCGCAGCATCTTCTCAGCTGATTTTGGTCCTTGGACAATGAGCTCCTTCACTGGTTTGACCTTCGGCTCATCTGAGGTCTCCCCTTGGCTGGAAGGTTCAGGGGGTTTCTCCTTGCTGTGAAACCCCTTTGTGCATCCCTGAGCAGCAGAGGGAAGCCTGATGACTGCTTTGTCCTCCCAAACCTGGTGGCTGCTCCCAAACCCTGCAAGTTTCTGTGCTCTGGTGGTTCTCTGTCCTGCAGGGATGGGCTCTGACCCTGCACCAGGTCAGGGACCGCATCTGCAGATAACCCCAAGGGTAAGGTGGTGTGGCAGCCTCACTGGAACCAGGCAGAGAGGTCTCAGCTCTGCTGCACCCCAGTGTGGCAGATGAATAGCAGCAAGAGTCTCCTCCACATCGCCAGGCCTCTGCTGGTCCCTCAGGGCCAGCCCCTTCTGGCACCCTTCTGCAGGAGCACCTACCCTGCACTTTGGGAGCAGCACCCTGCTTGCAGGCCCCTTGGAAGCAGGTAGGAAATCTCTGGCTGGCAGGGCAGGTGCAGCCTTGGCACAGGATGCGGATGGGGCAGGACAGGACAGGGGCCAGGAGGAGAGGATGGAGGAACAGTGGGTGCCTTTGGGCTGGCAGGTCACACACCTTTATGGAGAGGAACTCAGAGAAGTCTGTTGTGCGTTTCTTGCAACAAGACCAGCCCTAGGCACCAGGAGATGACAAGATGGTCAGGTGTGGGCAATCCTGCTTGGCACAAGGTCACTGCCTGCAGCTGCAGCCCCAGCTCCTGCCCCACTCACCTTCAGGGCATCGTGGAAGATGGGAACACCCGGGTGATACAGGCATGAATCTGAAAAGGGAAAAACAAGACAAACGCTTTCGGGAGAAGCAATTCTTCCTATGAGCCAACCGTGACACCCAGCAGCTCCAGAGCCAGCTCCTGCCATGTGGGCTGTCTGTGCTGGGCTTGACAGCTCCGGACACAGCGCGGCAGCTGAGGCCACATGCCGGGAAAGCAGCACACATTCCCAATCCTGCCGGTGCAAGGCACACGAGCCCACTTACCCTCAGCATTGTGCTCAGGATCAAACCTCTGCCCACAGCCCTTGTTGTAGCACAGCAGTGCCATAGCTCAGGCGTACTCGTGGTGTCCTTCACTCCTTCCACAAAAATCCCATCGGTCTCATCCGGGCCGTGTTCCCTCCTCTGCTCCCCACGGTTTCCAGCCCAGGCGCCAGGAGGTGGCTTTGGCTATCTTTGGAGGCAGCTGTGGGAGGTGACTGGTAACCTGAGAGCAGGCTAAAGATGGACACAGCAGCTCGGCAGCTGATGGGGCTTGGCGCCTGTGTTATCTCAAAAGGCATTTCTGTCCTGGCCCTGTGCCCAGCAGAGGAATGGGCACTGCAGGGTGGCCCCATGCCTGGGGTGTGCAGAGGTCCTGCCGTCCTGCCAGCATCCGTCATGGAGGCATCAGAGTCCTCCCAGTGTTCCCACTCAACTCCTCTTGACCAACTGCCCTCAGTTTCTTTAGCATTTATAGAAGCAGCTGAAAGTTTCCTGAAAAAGAAGGGTAGAGAATTCCCAGAGTCACAGGGAAAAACGTGTGCTGATCTCTCCCAGCCCCAAAAGGCACAATTATGTGCTGAACAGAAGCACCGGCAGACTCAGGCTGTGCAAGTGGCCAAGACATCCTTTGATTCAGGGTCTTGTGCAGCCCAGGTGTAACAGAGCAGTCAAGGGAAGGTTCTTGGCCAGATGTGAGGAGTAGTGATTATGTGATATAGTGATTATGTCGATGATTATGATTAGATTTGTTGCTAATACAGTATCTAAATATTGCCAGTGCAGTATGTAAATAACTCTAGCATCTATTACAAAATATAGCATATATAGGAGTGGTCCCTCCTGTTGAGTCACAAGCTTCAGTGAGACCTTCTAAATGTCTAAACTTCTCCGAGAAGCCTCAGTGCAGCTCAGTCCACTTAAGTCTCAGATTTGGTCCCAGCTTATGTCTAAAGAATATAAATATAAGCAGGTTTGGCCAGAAACATACAAGTTTACAGTCTTTGGCCTTGTAGAATTCACAATTACAATTACAAAGCATCTATGTGGCTTTTATATCTGTATTTGACTAGATCTTAGTGCTTTCCACTCACCTCTCCAAAAGTGAGGGTTATGTGTGTTCCTCATCTTCTGGTTGGATGTACCCTGTAGGGGACAGGGGTGACAAACACCACTCAGAAGCTGGAGACCAGTTTGACTGGTTGGCCTAGACTCCATCAGCATTTTATACCCTTCTGCAGGCCAAGTGCACCAAAGTCAAATACAAACTTCTCAGCTGCCCCATTTCTGGAATACAGGAATCATGCAAGCAATCAGACAGTCCCTCCTGCAATACCCACCTGGTGTCCTCACCTTATCTTAGGACAAACCACATTGCCCATCTGAGACAGCAGAAAGGGCAGGTGGAGAATGCACAGAGATCCAACTATCTTTCACCACCATAACATTTTGACTAAATTGATGTCACAAAAGCAACACCTTTCTTTAATACAGCTAATTTATGCCATTGTTCTGTTATGGCTTAGACCAGCTCAGCTGCATCCCACTAAGGATGAACATTTATTTACCCTCCCCTCTGCCTCCAAGCTGTAGAGCTTTACTACAGCCCCCGGAAAGTACCACACTTGGCAGCTCTCAGGGCTTTGCTGCTCAGTGCTGACTTTCTTGACAGTTCACACAAAGACCCAGACCCAACTATCTTTCCTTGTTGCAACACCAGGGATGAAAACTGTTCCCTGATAGATCATTGTCATCACAGAAGAAGAGTACAAAATGTTACATGGTCCTTCTGTACCCAAGAGGGGTTTGCTCAGACTCCTTGCTTGCGTTCTGGGACCCAAGGGTTTGCCTCTACCAATAGGAAATCCTCTTGAGATCAAAGGTTTTGCTAAGTTCCTATAAGCATCTAAACCAAATATTTTGTTTCTGCTGTTCCTGTTTGCAGAGACACCTGTTTCCTGGGTGCTGCCCTGACCTCCAGGAGCACACAGCACAGTTCTGTTCAGGAACCAGGTGCAATATCAGTCCTTGGCACTATCAGATAGGGCAAAGGGCAACTCCTGCAGGCAGAAGCTGCCCAGAGAGGGGAACCCACAGGGTCTGCTGTGGCTGATGCAACCCCATCCCTGCCTTACGATGTTTAACCTACTTAATGCCCCTACAACAACCTGAAGAATCTTCTGTCACCTCAAGGGGATCTCCAAAGTTCAGAGTTAGGATGAATCCTTGCCAAAATTCTGGAGCTTATCAAGAAGATGACTCCAGACTTATTTCACTCTTCACTGCTGCTTCACCCCCAGCTCAGTTCTGCCACTCCCACCTTGAGATGCCCCAGCCAGCAGCAACATCAGGCTTTTCCTTGTCGTCTCATTACCAAGGAGACAGCCCCACTGGAGGGAAGACACAAACCACTGTCACACCTCCTTATACCTGGGCAGGCTGTGTAAACTCCAACCTAAAAGCCAGGTGGAAAACATAAGGGCACTAGAGAGCTGTGACACCAGCACGAGCCACATGGCTTCACGCTGATCCCCCCCTCAAAGCACTGTACTGCCTCAGGACAGAATAAATGACCCAACAGTCCCAAAGGTGGGTAAAAAAATGCTGCTGGCATCCAGAGCCTCTGCCCAGGGAGGAAGGATCACTTGGGACCCAGGGAGCTGGGCAGAGGCCTGTGACAGGGGGATTTGCAGTCCTGGGGGCAGGAGCAGAGCTATAGTGTTTCAGATCTCCTTGTCCTTTCCATGAGCAGTCAGCAAGGCTGCAGCTGTCACCATCCCCATTCCAGCGAGGGTGTGGAGCTCAGGTTACCTTGCACACCTCAGAGGAAACACCAAGAGGATGGTGTGGCTGACACACATTCCAAGGCTCATCACAGGGTACCAGCAGGTAGCCAGGGGTGCCATGGCTGAGCAAACCCCCTCAGCACCCAAGGAGCAGCAGGAGGCTGCTGAGACTACACAGCAGAACTGCTCTGCCCCAGCTCCTCTGCAAATGTCTGCAGGAACAAGGTGGCTTGGAAAACAGACCCTGCTGGGAACATAGCACAGTGACACATGGTAAACTGGAGTGTGAACAGTTCCCAGCCCAGGAGGGACAAGGTGAGGGGGTGCAGCCTGGGAGACAGACACAAGACATCTATCATGGAACAGAGATGACCAGGGGAACTGCTCGGTTGACCACCAACAGACTCAAGGCCCTGCTAGAGCTGATGCTTTGAAAATGAGGAAAAAGAGGACATGAGGTTCAGGTGATGGCAAGGAGTGTGCTGGGTTGCACATCCATCATGCAGCATCTAGTTTGAAGCTGTGGCTTTTGGCAACTGCATTTGGGCCGTGGGGCTGTGTTGCTGAGGGTGACCCTTGTCCTGGGTTGCAGTGGGGGGGTATCCAATGGTATGTATTCTATTATCATCTCCACAAGCTGTTAAAGCAGGTGGGGCAGTGATCGTTATCACCTTGTCCCTCCCTCAGGGGGCTGTCTCTGATTAAGGGCTGTCAAGGACCCATGCATGACACATCCTCCCAGTGATCCTTATCCCTTGTCCCATGGTGAGGTGACTCACCCCAGGGGTGGGGAGCCAAACATGCTCACAGGGATATAAGCTGGGGTTTGGACCAGCACAGGGAGCCCTTTGCCTGCTGGATTCCCAGAGGACAAGAGCTGCTGCTGGACCTTCAGGAGAGAACCAGATCTGCAGGATCACTGCTCCAACAAACCCATCACTCCAGGAGGACTGCAGCCACCATTTAATCGGACTACTACTACACCCTGACTGACAGGGTGTCAGGTTACTTTCTGACTCTGTCAGGTTACTTTTTTTTGTACTGTTGCATTTGTGTTGTTTTGTTGTGTTGTTCATATTAAATTGTACTTCTGATTCAGAGTCTCTCACCGGTTTGCTTTTCAAACCAGCACACCCTCCACCACAGCAGAGCTCCAAGTGAAGCAGGAGTCACTGTGTGAGCCAGCTGAGCAGGCACAGTCATGATCAACACCTTTGAAACAGCTTGCAAGAAATGGGCCAGCTGAGAATTAAAAATAGAGCCTGTTTGGTTTATGTGCACTTAATTTCATATATAGCAGAGCAGAAAGGAGGTAGAAAAAAGGAATCAATGATTCTCAAATGTATTTGCCCTTGAACACTCAGGGTCAGTGTGAGAAAGACCTCCACAGTCCTGGGGAGAACATGCTGGAGGCATCCAGGGAAAGAAAGACAAATCACCCCTGACTCTTCAGTCATTCAGGATGCTCCATGGAGCCACAGGTAGTGGTAAGGGACTAAAGCACGGAGCAATTCCTCCCTACAAAAGGCTAGTCAGGAGAAGGAAAATCTCTGATATATATATTAGAGCTATGTGTGCTAGCAGGCAGGATTAATGTTTTATTTATTTGGGAAATAAAAATATTTCTCCAAAGAAATGTGTTGAGCAATTCTACAGCAGCAGCTTGGCCCAGCCACTCCTCCTCTGATATCGCTGCTAAGGAACTATGTACCAGCTGTTGTCCAAGAGGTCTGCACTGGTTGTACTCAACAGTTCAGAGAAGTTTCAAAAGACCAGAAAACTCTCAGATACTGGGATATGGAATGTCATCTCTCCACTCAAGAACACTGTCCTACTGCAGCTTGGGTTATTATAGGACTATTGCCCTAACACTCCAGTCTCACTGAACAATTACACCTTCAAACTGGAAACAGCTACCCAGTTGATGGGGACTTTTTTCCTGTAGCTCAGTCTTGCTCCAGAGATAATTTAGTTTTGTTGGAGCTGAGCTACTCCTTCAGGAGTTCATTCACTCTGGTGCTCACTCTGAAACCAGGTGCAATATTCCTCATCAGAAAATACACTTCAATCCTCAACAGGAACCAGTCCAAAATGAAAAGGATTCAGCCTACTCCCAAGACTCAACGTTTTTGTCATTAGTTGGCAAATGATCCATGATCAAAATCTGCTGCCGGAAATAGCCCGAACTGGCAGTGAATGTGAGGTTTTACAGGTTTTCCTTTGGAGGGTCCTGCTGCCTTAAAGCAAGGTCTCTGGGAGCACAGTTAGAGCAGAGTGGCCT